CACGATGAGCTCATTGCAGTGGTATGTGGGTCAGAGCTCTGCCCTCCTGAGCACCAGCCTCATTGATTGGGGTGGTTACTCCTGATTTGCACCGGAATATTTGAGAGGGGAGTTGGGTTCTATTGTTCATAACTGTTAAATATCGTACAGTTTGCAGGACTATGCAAGTGTGCAAACAAAACTTAGGGATGCAGCCTAGATTCCCTCACTGGTCCATAGCCTTTGGGCTTCATTAGACCCTCCAGACTTTACCTAATTTTGGCGTTATTCCCTCATCTTTACATCATGAATGTGGAGACAGAGTCATTCTCTCCTATGTTGTGGTCATGTAAGGGATTCATGTGGTTTTAGTAGCGGGTAGGCAGTGTTTGAACAGGTTTCAGCTATTTTAAGCACCCTTGCCTGTGCTGGGAGTCACACGAGAAGATTCAGTCTTACCAGAGAGTGGATTTTGCTCTCCCATCAGATGCAATATATACAGCATGAACTATGGAAATGTGCTTTGTCTTGGTTCATAGAGTCAGAGTAACAAAATGGGAAAGCTGCTCTCTATCCCAGATGTCTGCTCCCAGCCTCAGGGTATCTGTACATCCTTCCTCTTCGTTCGCTGGAAATGGTTTCAAGTCTAAGAAACTTTGTTTCATTAATAAAAGTGCAACTAAAGCAACAGAATCTTGGTCCTCTGTGAGAGTCTTTTCCACTAGAAATCTGTTTTAGCTGGCTGCCTTCAGGGTGCCTGTGAGCAGTGTCAGTGGCTGTAGTTCCTTCTCTCTATGACTCCTTTTGCAAGGTTTTTACCTGCAAAAAAAAAAAAAAATCCAGTCCTTCTGCACCCTCCTTGTGTTCTCTCCTTTCTCTTTTTATTTATCTGAAACTGAGGATTTTGTGATAGGTACATGTAAACCTTACACTTCTCAGGTGTCCTCTTTCTCCTCTCTTTCCCTGTGCTTTTCTGGCTTCCGTCCTCCCACTCCCAGGAAATATTTGAAAGATAATTTGGCATATTTTCTGCCACCTTCACATATCTCCCTGACTTCATGTTTTCTTAGCTGGAAGATAGCTTTTCGACATATATATATGTAATCCTTTTCACCTAGACTTGTGAGGAATTCCAGTCTCTTCCAGTGGGAGTTTTCAGGAAGGTTTAGGTTAAATGGGCCAATAAGGCAAAAACACAAAAGCATATAGCAGGAGATCTCACTCTCTAAAGACATCTTTTCTCTTCTCCTCCCCCCCTGCCCCCAGCCCCTGGAAAATATATCAGAATATCTAGCTGTCAAAGAATTTAAACAATAATACCTGATCTGAAGATTGGAGTACAGGGCCTTTGAAAAGAAAGATTGTAATCTCTGTACAGTGTATCCAGAGATGGATGGAGCTGGAATTCAGGTGTGCTGAGCAGCAGAGTCCTATGGGGATATTGCTCCAGCATGGTGGGACTCATTTTACCTGAGCTCTCCGTGGAAATTTTCTTGGATTCTACCTGTTGCTTTCATTGTGGCCGTGGCGTCTTTGTCATGGAGACAGATGCCAAGTCCAGTTTGAATTAATCTAAATGTAATGACTGAGCTTTTCTGCTGCTGCCTGTGAGTGGGGTGGGAGACACCAGCAGCCCCTTGTGCTGGGTCAGCCTCCACCCCCCAGGAAATCTTGTTGCAGCATTCAGGGCTGGGATTCATCCCAGCTGATTTTAGATGTGTTGTTCAAGGTCCCTGTCCCTGCTCCTCAGAGAATTTAGGGAGATGCCTGTTTTACAAAGAAGCATCAGCTGTCAAGGGTGCTGCAGACTGGAAGCCAACTGGGTTATAACCCACCCTAAAGCCTCACTGGTCTCCCTTGTAGGAAAGGCAGTCAGGGATCCATAAAAACAAGATGTTTCCAACATCGTAAGACTCAGATTTTTTAGAAGTGGGTACCTGTGGGTGGCCTTGGCCTGTACTGGGGCAGCTCGGGCCACAGTGGGGATCAGACTGAACTTCCTTCCCTGTGCTCCCCACTCCTGGCCATTGGGTGCAGGATGATCTCTGGGGGTTGCAGGCCCCTTGGGGCGCTGGGCTGTGGATGCTGGTGTGTTTGCTAGCATGGGTGTCTCATTGGGTGCTGCTTATCCACTGCTGCTTGGTCTGGGCTATGGCACCAACCTGGGAGGGATCTCAGCACTGCTGTAACCTTTGCGGCCCATGGGAAAGGTGACTTCCATTTAGTTCTAAATTCTGACATTATTTTATTAGATCTTTAAACTTTATTTAAATTTTTTATTTAAAAAGGGGGAGGAAGGTATCGTATTTTAATTAGTAGCGGGGTGCCAAAGGAGACCTAGATTAATTATTTGAAATCACTCCATCCAGATGGTTTTAATTTTCACAGCAGGGAACCGGCATCTTTTTAAGGTGATATTTTTCAAATTAAAATCAGCTTGGATATTACTCATACTGGCTGCAGAGCGAGGGGGTGGGGAGTGTGAGCCAGCGTGGCCCATGTTTGTCCATCTGAGCGTGGGTTGCCCATGGGGATCTGTGTCAGAGAGGTGTGAGCTGCTGCCTGTCCATGGGGACTGCAGCTCCAGGCTCTTGTGTTGGAGTGTTTTGTCGGCATTAGCTCCTGCTTTGGCTGGCCAAAGCCGGTGCCTGATATTCACCGTTCTTCTCAGCAGCTTTAGTTGCAGCACTGAGGCTGGAATGGATGGGAAATTCCTTGCAGCTTAGAAGGGAACCTGTGGCATCCTGTTCTTGCCTGTGTGGAGCCCTCGCTTGACCCCTTCGGTGGGTGGCCCCGCATCTGCTTGTGTGCCTGGGTGGTTTGGACACTGTGGATCTGTGGGCAACTCCTTGGTGCTCTGGGCGTTGGCCATGGTTCTCGAACCAGTCTTTGCTGGCTCCATAACCTTCACTCATGTGCTGACTGCTGCTCTCCCTCTCTGAGGTTGACCATTACTACTCCTGTTAGAGGAACCCCTTTCAAAGTCATCAAAGATAGATAGGGGTTTTTTGCTGTTCCCTTGTCTATTAATGCTGTGTTGCATCTGAGCAGCCTCCCTGAACTTCTTGGAGCAGTGGGCATTCCTCAGGTTATCTACCATGTTGATCATCCTTGAGGACTGTTCTTTGGCCCTGTGCCATCCTCCCCATCCTGGCTGGGCTCACCTTGATATCCTCACTGTGATGGGTTATTTCTGGATCACGTGGCCTTTCCCCACAGGAGTGGTCACAGGTTTGATACCACCTTGGCAGGTGTGGGGAGAAAACGTGCAGCACCCGGTTGTTCCTTGCAAGCTGCTCTCCATCACCAACTCCCAAGCCCATGATGCATTTCTAAAAAAAATAAATATCCGTATTTGTACATGATTGCAACTAATATTCTGCTGTCATACTGGCATTACCCCACTTGCTGTCAGAAAGAAGTTATAATTTAAATATCTCCTGTGATAACAGATTTAACTGGAAACCCCTGAACCTGCAGATGTGACTGAGCTGCAAAGGGAAAACTCTGTTTAGGGCCCTTGTGAGTTAAAAGTTTGTGATATTTGCACTGCTGCAGAAGCCAAAAGCTGACTTTACAAGTGGGAAAAATATTAATGTGTTTAAATGAAACAAACTCCTATTTCTATCCCCATGGTAAATCCTTACAATGAATGTATTTGCTCTTAGAGGGCTTTAAAGCTTGAAATATGAATGCCAAAAAGAATGTGACTTTTTGCAGCACAGATCAAACATTCTCCAGAGTTTAGCAAAAGCTATGTTTCTACGGCAAGGCTGGGATCTTACAGGCGTGAGTATTTCCAGAGCAGGACCATGCAGTTGCACTTGCTGACACTTACACATTCTTGCATTGTGTTTCAACCATGTCTCCTTTCTCCCCCTCCGTATCGGAGATGGATCTGAACCAAAATGTCCAGTCTGCCTGTTCCTGCCTCTCTGGGGAAATTCCTGGAATCTGAATCTTGAGCATGACTGGAATTTGTGTTTAGATTAGAGCTGGAATAAAAGGTTGAATTTGGGCATGTCTGGGTTTTTGAGATGATGATGGCACAGTGCTCATCTAGGTGGCAGCTTGGCCCCTTCTGCAGATACAGCTGTGTCAGAGCAGGTGGTTTAGGAAGATGCAGCAGAAATCTGTTCTCTACCATAGCTCCTGTGATGCTGCAAACCAGCTCTGGCATCAATAAATGTGTGAGACACTGTGGGATTGGCCGTATGTCTCCCATTGAGAGTTGAAGACCTAGACCTGGACTGCCAGAAGGCAGTTTGTGGCATCCTGGAAGCACAGCTAGACATGGAATACATCTGCAGGGCGAGTGTGTATCAGACAGAACAAGCAGTGCCAAATTTCTCCCCTGCTAGCTGTTGTGGTGATCTTCAGGAGATCACTGCGATGTTTTGTACCAGGAGCATGTGGCATGACCACTTCTATGCAGTGTTTGAGGGATGCTGGCTATGGGGAAAGGATTTTCTTTCTTGTCATGGTAAGCTTACATCTTCGTGAGAATAAAATCTATGTTCTTACCCTCCAAGAACCCTCCTGCAATGTGAAGGAGAGCACTGTCATTGATACAGGCTGCCCAGGGCAGTGGCGGAGTCACATCCCTGGAGGTGTTTAAGAGGCGTGCAGATATGACACCTGGGGACATGGTTAGTGGTGGCTGTGGCAGTGCTGGGGGAACAGCTGCACTCGATGATCTTAAAGGGATTTTTAACATCAAGCTAATATTGCTGATGGGGTGGCAGGGTTGGTGTGGACAGATGGAGCACACACATGTGTATGCCTCCTTTGTGCTAAAATCAGCATTAAACCTGGACCATCCACACAGGAGTTAGTGGAGAGGTGTCAGTTTTGCACCTGTGACTAAGCTGTGAGCTCAGTCCCGGGGTGGTCCCTTGGGTTGTTCCTGTGCGGAGCATCCCAGGGTGGTTCAGCTGGAGGCAGTGGGACAGTGCAGGTTGCACCCTGTGATTTAGTGGGACCACACTGGTAAATGCTTTTTTTTCTTCTTCCTTTACAAGCCCAGCTTCTAGTGGAAACAGACACTTTTGGCAGTCAAGTCCGGATCAAAGGGAAGGAGACAGATTTCTACCTTTGCATGAACAGGAAAGGCAAGCTAGTGGGGAAGGTAAGTGTTTCCTATTAATTAATTTGTAACCTGAGTGTTACCCTTAGCAGCCTCGTCAGGGCTGTAAGGATGTGTTCAAGCTTCACCTGTCAGCCTCAAATGAGAAGCAGGATGGAGGGGATGTGGGGTTTGCAAGGCTGCCTGTGCCCTCCCAGCCTCCCCAGCCCCTGTCAAACAGCCCTCAGCCAGGCTGGGATCTCCAGTGGTGCCTCAGATGTGGATGGGTTCGTGCTTCACGGTTGTGTTCAATTGACATGAGATGTCATGTCAGCATCCCAGTGCCGTGGATGGCACTCCACAATAACTTCCTTACTTGGTCTTTCTTTGGAGGGAAATTCGAATATAAATTTCCCTCAAAAATTCCTTTTAGGGGGAAATTAAAAATAAAAGGGCAAGTGGAGCACTGTGCTGCGGGGGGTGTAGGCAACATAAGGCCCTGTCCTCTCAGTGGTGAGCCAGAGGATGGTGTGACAGAGCTCATGCTTGAATTCCAACACCGTGCTGGGGCTGGGCCTCATGGTTCAGTGTTTCAGGAATTTTTTTTATTACTTTGGATCCCCCCTGAATGGAACCATGTAACAAATTACAATGTGTTTACCCATCTAGCTTAACTTCTTTGCATTTTTTTTGTGTATTAATTTGTTTTTGTAATTAAGGCAGTTCTGTATTGTTGGCGAAGCTGGAGGCTTGCTAACCAGGCAGGGGCTTGTGCAAAGCTAAATTACTACCAAAATAAAAGGAAAATAAAACATCCCAGCCTTCCAAACCCTGCTGCCCACACTTTTCACCACCAGGCATTCAAATCTAGCATCTTTGTGGCTGTGAAAAAGGAAAGCTTGAGTCAAGGCAGTGAAAGCCACGCTCCCAAACAAAAATCAGAAACCAAATGGCTCTGATGAAAAATGATTTACTTTTGTGGTCCCGGGGGTGACACCTGCGGGACACTGCCCTCCCCAGCAATCCCCCCCTCCTCCCCTTGTGTGTTCCTCGGAAGCAGTGTGGCTGCTCTGTCGAGGCTCAGTCCAGATCATTTGCTGCCAGCTGTGCCCTGTGCCTGACCCGCTTTGGAGCTGCCTGTTGAGGCATCCAGAGCACTGCTCCGGACTGGGGGAGACTTGGAGATTGGTGCTCCAGGAGGACTGGACCGAAGCAGCCGGTTCTCTCTGCTTCCTGCCCTTGTGCAGTGCAATTGCAATACTGTGTGAGACACTGTAGTTTGATCTTGGACAGGGAAATTCATTGTTTTAACCAGATTTAGCCTCTCAGGATACACATTGGATGCTTTCAAAGGTTGCATTGGACACAAACCTGACTTTGATTTTTTTTTGTGTTCTAATTTTCCATCCTTTAAATGTGATGATAGCATTTTTCCCTGCAATGTTATAAGGATAATTTTGTTAATGTTTTTGAGGTGCTGATACCACAGTTATGGAGACCTTAGAGGCACTCAAATTAGACGGGGTAAAACAAGCACAAAATCTTACCTTTTTCTTTAGTAGACCTTTCCCCAAGTGGATCAGCAATGGCACACGGTGCAACCCACAGCCTTTCCTGCTCTGTGCTAAGTGCCCAGGAGCATCCTGGCAAAGTCAGCACCTGTTTTTCAAAACATACATTGTATTTGTATATAGTATGTGTTTAAGATTCATCCCTTGATTTGGTCCACTGGGTACCAAGGCAGGACAGTTCTTTAGCTCGTCACCTTTCACGCAGCATGAACCTTTTTTTTTTCCCCCGATATGCTTTTCATAGCATTAAGTTGGCAAATGGTTTGTTACAAAAAATAAATGAGTCTATTCTTGTAAATATGAGCCTTCCCACCCCAGCCTGCTGACAAGTTCACAAACCAGCCGACCTGAGCCGGAGGGGGTATGGGACATGGCGTTTGGAAAGAAAATGTTCCAGACGTGTTGCCCATATTAACAGCTTCTCATGAGCAAAAAAAGAAAATAATAGCATGTCTTCTTGATACGAAAAGAGCGTGGTTTTAATTATTATCATAGTTTCAGCTCTCTTTGTGGCAAGAGTTTGAGGGAATGCTTTTTAGCTTGAATGCTCTAAACAGCTAGTAAACCCCAAGGAAAACATTAGATAAAAGTTACGCCTGGGCTTATACAAATATTTAAATTCCGTCTGGGGGTGGAGGGGAATAAAACCCATAAACTGATTGTTTCACGGTATGTTCATTTGGCCAGAGAGGAACCGTGGGACCAAACCGGGTCTTTCCTCTGCTCATTTCCTATTGCCTTACACAGCATAATCCCCAACAATACCAGCACATGCCATCTGGCTTTATTCTGCTCCTCAGTCAGCAGTCTTGAGTCCCCCCAGTTGAAAACCTGCTTTGAATTTAGGCCCTTTTATGTCCCATAATAACCTAGAATGTGTATTATGGGCTGGAGCAGGCTATGACAGGTATCCATAAGGAGGGAGAGGAGAGGTATCCACCTGTAAAGGGAGACGAGAGAGCAGCCCTGTTTTTCTGGGCTGTCCAAGGGCAGGGTAGAATGGACTTGGCTTCCTGCAGAGCTGCCATGTGGGAGGTGAGGGTGCTATTGCAGACACCACTTTTCAGAGCAAGATACAGAAGCAGGGGAGACAAGTAATGTCTGTAAGGAATGCAGAAGATTTGAGAAGAATGGGGAAAGAGCTAAGCACATATTTGAGTTGATACAGAAGTGTCTTCAGAAGATGCTCCAAGCAATCCCACTAATGTTCTTCCATAGCATTAGATGGATTATGTCTTTCCCACATCCAGCAGCAATATTCATAGAATCATAGAATAAATTGGGTTGGAAAAGACCTCCAAGATCATCAAGTCCAACCCCTGATCCAACTCCAATTACTATATCATGGCACTAAGGGCCACGTCCAATCTCTTTTTAAAAACCTCCAGGGATGGTGAATCCACCACCTCTCTGGGTAGGTCCGTTCCAATGCCTGATAACCCTCTCTGTAAAGAATTTCTTCCTAACATCTAACCTAAACCTCCCCTGGCAGAGCTTGAGCCCATGTCCCCTTGTCCTATTGTTGGTTGCCTGGGAGAAGAGACCAATCCCCACCTGGCTATAACCTCCCTTCAGGTAGTTGAAGAGAGTGATGACCTATCGCCTCTAAGCCTTCTCCAGACTAAACAGCCCCAGCTCCCTCAGCCTCTCCTCATAGGACTTGTGCTCAAATTGTTCCCTGTTGGCTTCATTTTGAGAACAACTCCACTTCTCAGTGCATTAAGTGACTCCTTGAGCTCTTCCAGGAAGGAGAAGAAGGTGGTGGTGCTGAAATCTATCTCCTTAGTGGGCTGGGACTCAGAATGCAGTGTGGTGACTGTCTGTTATGTGCTGTGCTCCATGTAATGCTGCTCCATTGATACTGCAACTCTGCAGGCAACTCCTGCACTGCTGGAAAAGTGGAGGAGTCCTTCTTCTGAGGGAAGATGTTGCTACAGAGAAAACTCCAGAAATAGGAATAGAGTTAGAAAACTGATAGAATGAGGTCTATCACAGATCATCCCTTCGAGCTGTACAGAAAGTAAGTGCACTAAAGTTGTATCCTGAGAGAACTGCATCGTTGTATCAGTTCTGCTCCTGAGAACTGAAGCCTGAGAGCATGTGATTCTATAAAATAGGTGGTTTCCCACCAAATCCACATGCTGACTTGCACCGTCTCTCTTTAGATTTTCATTCAAAAATCCTCAGTGACCTGGTGTCCACACGTTCTCAAAATCATTGTAGTATATATGCATTATTTTTGTTAAAGAAATTTTCTCTGAGCTTAATGTGAGCAGTGGGGAATAGGTGTTTGGTGAAAGGTAGGAAGCTGTGGCCAGTTGGATGGCTGAGGCAGTACTTCAGGCTGGGGACAGGTAATTTGGGTGCCTTCCGGGGACAGCTTTGCTGATGCCACGTCTGCAGCGCTGGAGCCCTCTCAGCACTCACAAAGCACTGACAAGCAGTGCTGAGCTCGTGCCCTCAAGCACAGTCCAGCTCCTGAAAAAAACTGTGCCAGCCAAAGCATGGCAGTACCAGGGGCACGTCATTGGTGCTGGGGGCTGGAGGTGGCATGGCTGTGCTGGCCACCTCTCCCTGACCAGCACCACTGTGCTGCTGCCACTTGTAGCATCGACCTGCCTCTCAGACATAAAATCTTTTTCTGGTGTGATAACTGCTTTCCAAGCCAATATATTTCTTAATGTTACCAGAAAGTTGCTAATACCATATGGCAAGGCTCTCTGTATTTTTGCAGGACAACAAACAAATTGTTGCTAGATGCCAGACTGCTCTGGCAGAGCTTTATCACTGATGCCTGCCAGCAGTAGCCTTTAGGGGATAGTAATAATTTGGGGTTGTTTACATTACAGCTTTAAAATAGGGGTTTTCTTGAAGCATGTATGTGTTTACTCAGAAAAGTTGGCTAAAAAACTGTGACAGCATCAAGGAGTGAAGGCACCCGCTATGGCCCCTGAATGTGCTCTTGGTCCTTTATAACCCCTCTGGCCTCATGGGAGAGGGCATGTGTTGTGTTACAGGAACTCCAGGGGCTTCAGTGGGAGCCATCCTTTGTAGGACAAGGAGACTTACCTGGGTGGGAGAGACCAGGTGATTCTCCAAAGCCTTACTCGTATACCTGGAGCAGCTTTTTCATCGCTTGGCTTTGGTCAAGGTCGAGGTTAAGATTTCTTGAAAAGCTGCCTTTGAAACACTGCTGGTGGAGACTCCAGGCCAGGGGGCTGAGGCAAGGAGACTTAGGGATGAGCTCTGAGCCCTATGCCCTTTACGTGCCCCAGTCCTGCATGGCAGGGTGCGAGTCCTCCTGGTGTGCCAGGGCTGTCCTGGCAGCCGGGTGTGCTGCAGAGCTGCTGGGAGGTGTGTGGCGAGGGCAGGGGCACACCGAGGTTTGCAGTTTGGAACTCTGATGCAGTAGATCAGGTGCTTGCCCTTCTTAGCTTGGATGTTTAAAACCACACCTAACTGCGTCTTGGATTTGAGGCAGAACTCTGAGTT